TCCCTGTGTGCTCCTGCTGCCCCCCCGCTACCTGCTCCTCCTCTGCTTCCTGCAGAGCTTATCCTCCTCACTCCTCACCTGCTCAGTGCTGAGCCTCCTCTTCCCTGGCACACCACTGCTGCTTCCTCTTCTGAATCCCAAAGCAGTCTCCCTTCACCGGCTGCAGTGACCTGCGTGAGCCCCCCGAACCTCCTGGATCCTCCCTGCACCTCCTTTCTGGGACCATACCCATGATCGCCCCTCAATACCTTGTGACTTTCTTTCTTCTCCTGGAGATGGTGAATTCGGGTGCCAAGAAACAGGTAAGGGAGATTATTTTCCTAGTTGTGGCAGTGCAGGGGTTAACGGCGGCCGGTGGGGAGAGCGCATCCATTCATAAAACCCGGGAGGCGAGGAGCCGTGACGCGGCGTGCCCGGTGCACATGTCGTTAAGCTGCATGGAAAGTGACAGATTAACCCCCTGCGCTCTGCAGGATTTTGTACCTTCTGTCGCCCTCAGGCTGTCCCTGTTCTTGTGCCACCTTGTTGGCGGTGGCTCGTTTTACGCCTGGCGGCTCGTGAGGCTGACCGTAGAGCGCACCACAAGAAGCCTGCGTCAGCCACGTCCCGTTTGATTGAGCGTATCGTAGCCCCTGACCAGGTGTTGCTGCTAAGCCATGGGAATGTTCCCTGTAGAGGGACTGTAAGTCCCAGCATGCCTAGTAGAAAACTCCCTGACCCTTGCATCCCTCGGAGGAGCCCAAGTCTCCGACGGCAGATAAAGACCGACAGATTGATCTGATTTACAGTCATAAGGTATGATTGGCTTAGAGTTTTCAGCATTCTAAGATAACCTACGGGTAGGGTGACCTGATGAGCTGACACTTCTTTCATATCATCTCCAAGGACCAAATGGGATTCTGTATCAAGCCGTTCCTTATTAATTACTGCAGGAAACAGTCGTGAATAGGAAAGATCTAACACAATACAAGAAACCTTACTAAGACTTGCTTGACTTCTGAAAATGTTGACTCATCTGTCATCCTGATCCTCTGGCTTTAATACCATTAGTCATCAAACCTGAACACGTAGGCAGATGAGGACCTCTGATATTACTCCGACTTTCTTCATCTGGATACTTCTTCCAGGTTGGTGACAATATTGGAGCCAGAGAGTCAGCATGATGGGCACTTAGCACTTTCACATGGAGATCTTCGATGGCCACCCTCGTATTAGGTTTACTTTAAGGGCAACACTTGAGAAATG